CCTTCAAGGACTTTCAAAGACTGAATGTTTCTCAATGTCAATTCTATCACACTCTTTTCTCCTACCTTGCTGAGTTTCTCTTCAGCACCTCACTGCTTCAGTGGTATTGCTCGGTAAGAGCACGATGTCGTTCGCGAAATAAGTCTAGGGAAAATTGGCTCTCAACTCGCAAGCCTCTTTAGTTCCTTCAATGACTTCATCCACAGCAAGGCGCAGAGAATACACACGTTGAAAATGCTTGTCTTGGCCCCCTCTCTCCAACGAGTGATCACGGGTTAAGGAAGTGGAATAGCTGCATTGTTCTTGTACAGTCTTTGCATTCGGTCAATGTTTTCTCGTAATCTGAGATTCTGAGATCTTGGTTAACTAGCGCTGACAGGATGCTATCAGTGTCCTCTGGCTAGAAAGCTCACCAGAAATGTGGTTTGGTACTGTAACCGCTACTGTCCAGTCTTCACATTTCTGGACCGCAGCATGAAGAATCCGTGGTGGTAGTCTTCACAGCGCTTATGACTCAAGCGGCTCCCGCTGTTTCCCTGAGAAGCCATAGCTGCAAAAAAGGAAGATTTTGGAATTTTCAGCTATTGTTAGTATGAATCCATGATCTTATTTCGCTCTTCATTCGCGGCCAACGATTCGGGGAGATCGCTTCGTCAGAGCCAAAAAAGTAGAAAAACATAAGTGAAACATCTCTTAGACGACAAGATCACAGCTCAAGATGAAAGTTAGTTTGGAAGATCGTGCGAAAAAACAAAGAATTGAATGACCATTACTCACCTGGGCATTGGTTAGCTGTGATTTTGGCATCTGAGAGAGTGTTTCATTTGCGTTTTCGACTTTCTCGGCTGTGACGAAGGTGATTTCGCCGAAACGTTGGCCGTATAAAGAGTGATTAACATCTTGGTCAACGCCTAATCGGTTGATGCGGTCATCAAGCAGCTGACGCCAAGACTGATAAGCAATCAAGTTGGAAGGTCTTATTTCGTTGTCTATGATTATGCAGGGTGCTGCACCCATTTCTTGGAGGATGACAAAGATCCCAGAAAAATTGCCCCTGCCCCCAACGCCGTTTTGGCGGGACGCGGGCGCCAACTTCTGGTGTTAACCATCCGCGGTCTTAGATTTATGTACGTGACCATCCGCGCCGCAAAGTTTCCGCTAGCGAAGGGCCGCGGGATCGCACTGTTTTTTCGGAGCCCTCGCGACCAAGAAAAAACCTTCGAGCGAGCAGCGGGCCTTACAGGAGCACTGCATACTTGGTTTTCGGGCGAGCCCCGCAGCTCAACAGAGTTTCTGTACCAAGCAAGCTCCCTTATCGGGCACCTCCCACATCTATCACATAGACCCGCGGGCCTTAATGGGTGTCGTGCACATCATTTTCGTGCAGCCACGGTCCTTCTAGGCAATGGCTTCATAGAATCATCCTGGCGATCTTCGTGCCCTGCTGGACGCCGCGGTCCTTACACACTGGAAGCAAAAACGTTGCTCGCGTGAGGTTACCCTTAACGCTTTGATCTTCGCTTATCTCGTCTCAGTTTATGACTGGCGGTGAAGTCGGTTTGATAGGTCCCTCGGATGACTACTGTTTGAGTTACTGAACCAGATAAATGTCTGCTTGACGTGCGTTTGTTCTACCCCCCCCCCCGCGGCGTGGATGAAACGTCGTCGGCGATCTTTCGGGTGTGGTCGCAATAACTGTCTGACATGAGATGGTGGAGCCATGCTCATATTAGCAATATTTTTTTAACTTCAGTCACGTCCAACTGACGTACTGGCCACCTCACAGAACATTCTTTGTTTTATAAATTGCGAATGAAAATCTTTTATAGGCATAAAAATCGTAGAGAAATAGATATGAAAGCGTTTTATGTTGTACGAAAACCATATGCAGCGACAATATTGGGAGGTTGAAATTTACGTGAGCGAGGTATTAGGAGCAGCTCTGCTGACATCTGTTTGAAACAGTTCCAGCTAATTTGGAAGAACTTACCACAGCTTTCATTCACACAAGTTCCAATATATTTCTTACACAGTCCCTCCCTCACTTGCACAAAAATATTACTGCTTATTAGTTGGAAAGCTTATAATTTTGTTTATTTGTAGCATAGTCCAGAATTCCGCTGTGCAAGATCATGTCGACGAACAGCAGTTCTGGTGTCTGCCGCGGAGTTTACGCGCCCTTTCGTGCTAGCGGTAAGCTAGCACGAAAGGGTGCAAAAAGTATCATTATGCAAATCCTCAACAATATGTTTTCTTATTCTGTTTCAGAAATTGAAAATGTATTCATCAGATACGCGTATGAATCTTGTAAACCTAATACGCGCAAGAGAGCTAGGTCATGAGGATTGAAGTAGGAGCTTTCTAAACGCTTTCGCCAGTTGAGAGATATTCTATGACTCTACAGCTAACTGTTCACCACCTTTTGCTACATTCAAATTTCATTCTATAAGTAGCTTATGTCAAGATTATAACCAGGGTTGAGCGTGGGGTCAGGCGCGCCCGACCTGGGGGGTCGTACTGGGGGTAAGACAGGGGGGGGGGTCGTGATTAGGAATCGAATTCGTTCGATTGAGGAGATACTACGATTAAGGTGAAGAAGAGAAGCGCTAGTTTAGTGGATATCGCGACCTCACCAGTACTGAAGGAATGAACGGTCTTAAACAGCATACTGATTGATTTCACAATCGAAGTTTCGGCCAAAACTCAAATCTTCATCTTCTACCTTGACATATTATAAATTCATCAAGGAAGCTTGCTGTGTGAAATGGGTATCATTTCCGAGCACGTCAAATTACCTCTATGAGCCCTACAAACCATTATTTACTGCATTATCTAGTGTTTCTCAACGACTAAAAAGTGTGATTTTCAAACATGATTAACTTGTTTTCAAAAGTGAGAAAAGTCAGTTTTTTTGTACTCGTAACAAAGTATTGTTCCCTACTAGTCTAGGCTAAAAATCGCGCTTTGTATCGCTTGCAAATAGTGGAGTAAGAAATAATGCCAAAATTCCGACCGGCGCGTTTTTCGCCATGACTGCTTCAACTCCACGGATTACCACAAGGCCGAAACAAGTCGAATCAAGTCCAAACACTTACTGTGGAATCTTCGAGGGTTGTGCTAGCGATTCACATAAAACTTGAATAAAAAAGCTTCTTCAATGATAAAGTTAATCGGGTCAGGCGCAACCCCACAAAAGGTCAGGCCGCCTGAGCTTTTGAGGGGTTGCGCCTGACCCGATTAACTTGTTTTCAAAATCTAAAAATCGCTCCATTTCTGCTATGAGTATTGAACTCAAAGCCTCTTCTTGCAATACTGCAAATTTGGAGCCAAACAATACACCCCTGTGGGAATTATAGCTCTAAAAGTAGGGCTATCCAAAATCCATAACTTGCCGTCAAGTTGCGTGTGCTGTGTAATCGCAGAAAGTCGGCCTACAGACCTCCAAAAAACAAGAACCTCCCAAAAACGGCTGATCTCTTCGAATTATCACAGCCTGAGGTCCTGGAGGTGAAGCAGAGGGGTCGTTTAGGGGCTTTCACTGGGGGGGGGGGGTCGTTTTGGGAAGACTTGTGCCTGACCTCTTGCTCAACCCTGATTATAACCACCCATGGTTTTATATTGAATTTGCTTCCAACCAACTTCCTCTACTTCATCCTGCGCCAAACACCAGGAAAGAAGTGAACAGATATGACGCTCGTATTGAGATTCTTTCCTCCAAGTCATTCTGCTTTTTTGATTCTCAACAATTTACATCCTCCGACAACTTTTTTCACAGACTTTTTCCTTCCCTTATCATCCCTCAAATTATTTTTTTCGGTATTTTAGTTAAGAGAAGCTCTCTTATCTTCAAACTTGGGCATCTTGTGAAGTGTCAGTAAGTAATATGCTGTGTTATGCCAAACCAGGTTTTTTCGTGGATCTCTTTATTAGAGCTGACGGTTTCGACTGTCTCGTCTTCTTCAGAGGTCTGAACGAAGATCATAGATGATGATGATCATGATTTATGATCTTCGTTCAGACCTCTGAAGAAGACGAGACAGTCGAAACCGTCAGGTCTAATAAAGAGATCCACCAAAAAAACTGGCTTGGCATAACGCGGCATATTACTTACTGACACTTCAAGAGAATTTTTATTTTTTGCACCATTTTTGAAGATGGAATGCTTTCCAACCGTCTTGGGACAAGAAATCCTACTTGTTTTTCTCGCTTGGAACCACATGCAGGGTGTCCCAAAAAGATGTGGACACTGTTTGATCGACAATAACTCTCTTGCTTCCATGTCTTTTGCCAAGCTTGAGGTACTGTTGTGTAGAGCGATGTTCAACTTAGATTTATAGGACGGAGCAAATCTCCGGTCTCTCTTCGTTACTGTAGGATTACGGTAGGAATTTGAGAAGGATTTCAGACCAATGAAAGTCACTTTTACCTCAGAAAAAAAACCAAACAGACTAGAAACTTTTGTACTGGATTAGTCGAAGTCGCTGATTTCAAATATGAAATCAGTGCTTCACTGTAATGCTTCTTTCATAAGTTATTTCAGGTTTAGGGTAGCATCCGTTTTTCCTATGTCTGTCAGAAGTGTGATTACACCATTGAAAGGGCTCAAAAAACTGGTGAAAACTTGTGTAATGAAATCAGCATGCCTAAAAACCTTGCCACGCAAATTTCCAGATTTTTTGGAATTTTTTTCATCAAAAGGTCTAATTCACACCGGCGTTGTATGCTGAAAGTTCATACCGTAATTCTACAGTAGCAAAGAGCGATTGGTGATTCGCTCCATACTGCAAACCTAAGTTGAACCTCGCTCTACAGTATGGTACGTCAAGATCGGCAAAAGACATGAAAGCAGGAGAGTTACTAACGACCAAACAGTGTGCACATCTTTTTGGGACACCCTGTATACTCGATTAAATATTACGCGATTGCACCGCATGTCTCCTTGCATCTATAATTGATTACTGGATGATTCGCGTTTGTCTAAGGAGCAAACTAAAAAAAGACTAGTGTCACGAGGTCCAGATAATTCAGCAACTCAGATACTCAAAAGACGATTATAGCTTATTTTGTCATCTGTACTTATAAGGAACATGATGGAAAAAAGTCTGCATTCATGTTTATTATCTCGATCCTTGTAGGAGGACTACTCATTCTCCTGCGACGGTGCTGCTTCGGCCGGTGCATTTTCCGGCTCATTCTCCTGCGACGGTTTTGCTTCGTCCGTTACCGTTTCCGGCTTTGGTTCTGGCGGAGGCATTGGTTTTGGCGGAGAAGGAATCTTTCCTGGTACAGGTCTTGGATAAGGCTGAAGAGGAGGATATGGTACAGGTCTTGGATAAGGCTGAGGAGGATATGGTACAGGTCTTGGATATACAACACGTCCTGGAATTAGTTGTACAGGTCTTGGATATACAACACGTCCTGGAATTGGAAGTTGTGGTCTTCGAATTGGTACAAGTGATACAGGTCTTAGAAGTGGTACAGGTCTTGGATAAGGCGAAAGAGGAAGTGGTACACGTCCCATTGGATAAGGCGAACGACGAACCATTACTGGTCCAGTCATTGGAGGTGGAACTGTAAATACGAATGGGATTATGGATCCAGTTCGACTTTTATCATATTAAGAACTTATTTTGCAACACTTACACATCGGTCCACGTAAAGCAACGACTGCAAACAATTAAGAATTTGCATCATTTCATCGTAAGGCTTTCATTTTTTTAATACTTACTTCTCGCAGTTGCAGAAGAAATAAGAGCTGCGGTTGTTAGAAGCTCAAACCACATGTTTGGCTTGTCGAGTACAACTGTAAAGAGATGAATAAAGAGAAAAATATCGGGTTAGCAAGTATGATGTCGAAACATGGGATTGGTGTATCTGATTCAAGTTTTCCAAAGTTACCAATTTGATGTTAACTCACAGGCGTATAGGCTGTGAGTTAACATCAAAGGGCCTTATAAAAGCGGCTCGCAATAAGAGATACAGAAAAGCGAGTAAATGCTGACTGTTTGCGCTTTAATACCAAGGTGGATGTCAAGTATATTGTTATTTTATGACAACAGCGTTATCGATGATTTACATTTATTGCGCATTTACTTCAATCAGCGCCGCAATTCATTTCAAAATCTCAATGAAATTTCTTAAGCGGAGATTGCGACAAGAATCAAATATTGCCTCAAAATAACGAAACAATCCTCCATTGACGGCCCGCTGGAACAAGGTCCTATGTTAAAATTATTGCAGAGAATATGCCCTGATCGACAAAAGTAATTGCACTTAACAAGGCTCGGGGATTTATACCCTTATCTGATACAAGTATGGTCTTTCCATCTTCAGAGCTCAAATTCGGATTATGCTTATGGAAAAGCCCTGAAATATGCAGAATTGTGGAAGTGCAATTTGCTGGGGCACTGTCTTCAAGGAATTTGGTGTGAGCTTGTACTAAGATATGGTCAGGGTCTTCATCTTTTTGAATTCGCAAAAGTCCTAAAACTCAAAGATACGGCCTGCAAGGCTGTTTGTTCGAGTAGGTTTACGATTTGTGAGCACTTGGGTGCGGACAATAAGCCACAAAGAGAACAACGTGTACAGACGAAAACATTTGATGAATATAATGTTAGAGTCCTGATTTGAGGGAGTTTTGTACTGGTGGATGATCCATTGTATTTGTCATGGCGCTTATCCTTATAAGACTCACATTTTTTTGGCCGTTTAAGTATGCTGAGGAACCGCTGTCACGATATCGTATGATGACAATTTTTTTCGGCCGATTCGATAATTTTGAAATCAACGTGGCGTCAAATCTGGTACAAGAAGCTTTATGGCTTGCTAAGCTTGGTCTTCACTTAAGATTACAGAAAAAATTTTTTCCAGCACTTATCAGAAACACTATGACCTGCATAGTCACAGTATGGCGCAAAATAGACCAAACTTTGAGATAGCATCAGTGTTGTGTAGTCAGTCAGGTATGGCCATTAAGAAGTACAGAACAGGGGTTTTGATGAAACGACTCTGAACCATCGTTTACTTCAAATTTACTTCCCAGAGGGTGTAAGCTTCGAAGAGCAATACAGTGTTAAACACAATTATTATCCAATCTCAATATCGCCATGATTTGCCTTTTTGTTAATGGATCGATTTGAAGTTTTGTTGCGTTGTATACAAGCGAGCCCACCATCATTTATCAAAAAGGCTCTCAATCTCGTAAACGGTGAAAAAGAGAAAGTTGAAAAAAAACTTGATAAGGCTGGACATTACTATAAGTGCACTTGCTTTTTTAGCAACCATTGCATTTCTTGCATTCCTTGACTCTAAAAGGAAATTCGAGGGATAAACAATCACCTGAATTTTTTTCTTAAAAGCTCATAAAGTCAATCTGCTTTAATAAATAGCTGGTTTCAGTTTACGAGCTTTTATACATGCCACGCAAAAGTCTCGAAAGCTTCTGAGCTTTCTTAATAAAAGAGGTAAGAACGCTCTTAGAACTTTGCGTAATCGCTGATATTGACGGGCAAGCTCCACACTAAAGGGTAACTATTAGGTTGGCACGAAAGTTCTTGCGTAATTCAAACAATATTCAATAACTTTTCAAAGACTAAACCTAAATTCACAATCTTGTATGCCAAAAATATTAGAAGTCTCACGCTCTATGATGGAGGTCCAAGCACAACATTCCATGAGCTAGCCATCGAGAACGAAGCTCTCAAACATGGGGCTTCAAATTTTGCGATTTTGAGTTTGGTGGCAGAAAATCGCAGAGGGCCGCTAGCTAGCCGAAAAAAATCTGTAGAATTTATTTACACAGCAAAAGTCCATACGTTATTTTGGCATGCTTTGATTTCGCATGGAAATGCGAAAACAAAAAATTTGCGAAATTTCTCATTTCACAGGACAAATCGCCTTATCGCTCTAATTTTCCCACAGAAACACAGTTTGCAACCAGAAATTAGACATAGTGCCTATTTAGGGCCTTGCGACGCTTTTTCGATTGTAAAAAAGTGTTTTCGCCGGAAAACTGCGGACATGAGGGGATTTTTTCCGCAAAATGACATATTTTACGAATTTTTTGTTTTTGCATCACCGTGCAAGATCAAAGCCTTTCAAAGTAACATATGGACTTTTGTTGTGTAGGAAAATTCTACAGATTTTTTTCGGCTAGCTAGCGGCATTCTGCGATTTTCTGGCACCAAACTCAAAATCGCAAAATTTGAAGTTCCATATTCGAGAGTTTCGTTCTTGATGTCCAGCTCACAAAATCTTATGCTTAAACTACCATCGTGAAGCGCAAGGCTTCTAATATTTTTAGCATACAAGATTGTGAATTTAGGTTTAGTCATTGAAAAGTTATTGAATTTTGTTTGAATTACGCAAGAACTTTCGTGCCACCCTAATATATTTCCACAAAGCTCGATGGTCCATATTTAGGAAATGCTGAGATTGATTTAATATATTGCCTAATTGATAATGCGGCTCTGCTAAAACTCCCAGATTGTTGTGATGCAATCGCCTTTAGATTATTACTATTCGTGAAATTTCTCTGTGAGCAGAGATCGAACATAACCCTCAATCTCCTTTCCGATTTGAATCAGGTTTTGCGAGTTAGTCAAGAGTAACTAAGATTTTGAAGTTCTGATTGTTCTCCAATTTGACCTGGTGGTCTGAGTTGTAATTGGGCAGGGTGCTCCGATTTCTCTCGAAGTATGACAATTGTGGATCCAAAATGCCCAGTGCACGTATTTTTTTTCTAACTGTGCACACGGCTTCATTTTCGTACAATTTTGAAAACCAAGCTTTAGATGTATTATGTTGGCTCGAAAGTTCTGGGACATTTTCGAACTAGATCTGATATTTCTCGAAACCTAGCGCATATACATCAGATGGAGGTACCATTCGATAGAGCAAACAAGCTCTTCAAGATGGTATGCAAAAGTTCGTACCAGCTTCGACTCACCGTAAGTTTGCACACAAAATGTGAGTAGTACTGAAATTCAAAAAATTGCGAAAACTTATATCTTTGTTCAAACCCTACGGATCTGCAACTTGCTCATAGAAGTTGCGCACCACATCAGACACTCATATGCACCGTTCCTGTATTTTTTCCTCATCTGGAAATCGGGAAAACGAAAATTTTCATGCTTATATAAAAACGAAGCTATGTTGTTTCCACCCACATAGTTGAATAATATAAGCTCTTAGAAGTATAACCGTAAAATTTCAGCTTTCCGTAAGCCCTAGTTGTCGAAAAATATTGATTTTAACATGGAAAGCCCAAATGAGGGGAACGCAATTCGGTAATTCTCGAGAACTAGGGACTGTAGAAAGCTGAAAGTCTACGGTTATACTTCTAAGGGATTGTATTATTCAACTACATGGGTGGAAACAGCATAGCTTCGTTTTTGTATATGCATAAAGAATTTCGTTTTCTTGATTTCCAGATGAGGAAAAAATACAGAAACAGTGCATATGAGTGTCTGATGTGGTGTGCAAATTTTGCGAGCAGGTTAGAGATCCTTAGGATTTGTTTGAACATAGATATGAATTTTTCGCGATTTTTCGAATTTCAGTACGACCCAGATTTTGGGTGCAAACTTACGGTGGGTCGAAAGGTGCGAACTTTTGCATACCATCTTGTAGAGCTTGCTTTGCTCTATCGAATTGTACATCTATCTGATGCATACGCCTAAGGTTTCGAGAAATAGCACATTTAGCTCGAAAATGTCCCAGAACTTTCGAGCCAACCTAATAAAAGCGTGACAGTCCTCGGTGACCTTATCTTTCAACATCAACGATTACGGAAACTCTATAAGTGCCTCCTTTAGGCTTATGCCCAATCTACTGCTCAGGGGAATTTTCATGAAAAGTGCTTGAAATTTGAAGGCGCGATTGCATCACAACAATTTGATATTCGTGAAACCGCATCATCATATAGGCAAGGTAATAAATCAAGCCCAGCACATTTTGAATATTAAACATCGAGTTTTGCAGAAAATTGTCGACTTTATGGTGATTTTGCAGCTGTCTGTCAAAATCAGCGATCACGCGAAGTTTCTAAGCGCGTTCTTTACCTCATAAGAAAGCTCACGAGATTCTATGATTTCTGCGTGGCATGTGAAAAAACTCGTAAACTCTGCAAACCAGCTTTTCGTTAAAGCAGATTGACTCTCAATGCTTTCGAAAGCAAAAACTTCATGTGATTATTCATCTTCGATTACGACGAGAGGTCGGAGGTGCTGCAAATGTTTCACACTTCGAGATGTAGCTGTACAAAAAAAATTTGAGAGTCAAAGAAGCAATGATGGTTGAATCAAGCAAACGGATCTATAAATGCTTAGTTTCATGCAGTGGCTCGACAATCTTCCCCAAAATTCTTTGCTTCCTCGGGACGAATCGACGCTAATCCCAAAAAATGAACTTATATAGTACGAGAATGGCGTGAACTTCCCAAGGCCCATCATACTCAGAGTTTACAAACCAAAGACGAGCTCGATCGCGTCAGGACTTGAAAGCAAGGGATGGGAGGAAGTGGCTCGAGAAATTTAGGGGGGGGGGGGGGAAGGAGACATCATACGCACTGTATTATCTTCTGATTTCACAAAAATTTGCTATCATATGTTTATCAAGACTTCAAAGAGTAGGTTTTCCCAAAAGTTCTTGCGCCGGATTTTCAAAAAAAAAAACATACTTCTTAGTATCTCAACGGAATCCTTCAAAGAGAATCCCATACGATCTCATAGATTTAGATCTTTTTTTGAATAATTTCTATGAGCAGAGATTGGACATAACCCTCAATCTCCTCTCTGATTTGAAT